GAATAAATATTAAAAAAGAAAACATATTACTAAGAAATGTCTTATTTCTGAATATATACGTATACTAATAATAAAATGCCTCGCATTTTAATTAATAATCGTGCAGAAATAATCATAATTAAAAATATGATATCGCAACAATTTTTTTTATATCAAAGCTACAGAAAATGTCTTTTCAGTCTCATAAACGATACATTTGGTTATCACACTATCATATTGAGAATGTAAGTGTACATCTGTTTTATTATATACTTCACTAAATTTTGCTAATTTGTTTATTGTTGAACATAAATTGTATGACAAGTTTAAGTAAACTCGATTTTAATCAAATTTTATTCGTTTACATTGCAAGATTTTTTTTAGTTAGACGCGGCCCACTCCAATAAGAGAGAATTGATGTTGTAATCATATTTTATATATGGCACGTAATCATGTTTACGAACAAAAATGTCACATATGTACATTAATTATCCAAAAAAGTATCAAATGTATTAAAACATTCGAAATCGATTAAGAGTTGATAAAAATAAAATAAGATTTATAATCTTCTTCAAGTTTAAATTAAAAATATATAGGAATTATTAAAAAATATTTTTTTATATAAGTATATTTTAACATTTGTGTGTTTGTATATAAATACGTATCTTCTTTTTTTAATAATGTGTTACAGTTCAATCGCATATTTTTTACACAATGTGATTTTGTATCTCAATAAATCTGTAATATTAAGAAATAAAGTCGCAATCATAATACCATAATCGTTATGATAACATAAAGCGTGTGCAGCATGACATTATGTTATCGCTATTTTTGAGATTCTGTCACATCTCGTCCAAAAATGTTTAGTTTCAAGATATAAAACAACATCATCAAGAAAGAATAACTTATGATAATATTTAAATAAAAGTAGCACTTACGATAGTATTTTAATAAAAATAGCATTGATTCAAAATAGTATTAACTAATAATAATGCACAAAGTAAAAGTAATCTCTAAGTTTATATTATAAATACACTCATCATTATCATTTATAAAATTATATTAAAATATTTTCTCAATTTTTCATATTCTTCTACCTAGATAACCCAGAAAAAAAATTAAAATTTCTTTAATGTAAAATATTTTTTAATCACAAATGCTTTATGTTCATCAACTTTTTATTTACTTTCAAAGAATGTTTTATATCAATTTTATATAATAATTATAATAGAAATATTATAACCTTCAACTTTATCTCTCTCTCTCTCTCTCTCTCTCTCTCTCTCTCTCTCTCTCTCTTAAAATAAATTCAAGAAACAAAATCTTGAAAGACTCACATGGAGGAATTTTAAAAAATTAAATTAAATTTCTACAAAATTTACCGTCGTGTAAAGATTAAAATTGATCAGTGACGTACATGTGCACCGATAGCTCCCGAACAAAAGTGGTACCACATGAGACCAAAATTAGATTTCAGGCTGATGCAGTTTTGGTTCCAAGATATGTTCTTCCTATTTTTACACTGACAATGAGACACGTTATGGCTAGATACGAAATATTCTCGCGAGTTAAATCCACACCACTACTATAACAATAACGTTCTCTAGTGCAACCAGTAGGTTGAACGAGAAACGTAACACACAATGCGACTTCGCCGATGTCGCGGTGACAACTGAAGGCCCGCGTATATAATGCACTGAGGCAAGGCTGAAGAGGCCCCACCAAAGTATTTCCAAGTCGAAGTCGGGAACACCAGGTGTGTCGGAGCGCGTCAAACTGGGGGATTCTACCGGCAGGTGAGAATAACCATCTGATCTCAGGCTCAGGATGATCATTCGACCGGCAAGGGAAGTCGGTGTTCCGGATCCGTTTGCATTTCTCGAACAAACACTTATTGTAAAAACGAAAAAATAGAATTCGCTAACAATTATATGAATACACTTATATGTACCTATAAGACTATGCCTACATAAAAAAAAAGAAATTTACTTTAACTAACCAAATAGCTTGTTCATTTCAGATAAGTATAAATAATACTTTTTACATTCGGATATTATGAATGCTTTTTAAATTACATAAATAGTATTTATAATTCTCTTGACATTTAGAATTTTTTTTTATTCAATTTAAATTAAAAAATTATTTTTAATTGTTATAGCATTTAAAATTCTTAATTATTAGCTCTTCCTTTGTCATCAAAAAATATATACTTAAGTGGAAGTTGGTTTTTTTTTATGGAAATGATGAGCGAGCATGCGACAGTTTAAAATTTTTATGGATTTGAATGGCTTTCAATGAACATTCTAAAAATTTATATATATACATATATATATATGTATAATCTATTCTATATAGAAATAACATATATTTAAATGTGTTTAGCATAATGTATTAATTATTTATCAATCCAATATTAATAAAAATTCTTTTTTAGAACTGAGCACCACTGTTGATACTTTCACGTCACTAGATGATTCAGGTCTGATGAAAGAACTAATGGAAAGTAATAAAAGGGCCAAGAAGAAGGGGATCTATTCACTGATTCCTGTCTACCTTGAGCGGTTCTCCGTCATTCTACCTTGTCCATTTCCAAATATTTATTGCTCTGTTGTTATTCGATTTTACATTTGTGACCTTCTCAATTTCTTTCTTACGATTGTGACACAATGACGACGATAATGATTATTAGATGTTTACAAGATGTTCTTCAAACATATTCTAGTCTAAACTTTTCTATTTAATGTAGAATTGACTTTTCAATGACGGATGGTTCAGAAAATATTATTTTATTTTTGATAAATCATCCATATGTAAACAAATGCAAAGTATATTTTATTCTCTTTCAATAAAAACATTCATTAGTCATAACAAGATTACATTATAATTATTAGCTAATTACATTTAGACAATTAAAATATTATTATTTTTCATTTAAAATTGAAATCAAATATTTAAAATAAAAAGAAAGCGTTTGTATCAAATGTATAAATACTTTTTCATTTAAAAAAATTTATTTAGTTTTATATAAATCCAATGAGTCGTATCTACTCAATTCTTTTTCACAAAATTACTACAGAAGAATTTTTTTTTCTTTTCTCTTCGTTTCCTCATTGCGCTGAATGAGTAATACATGACACGACGGGTTTCGTTGAAAGGTACTTCCATCGTGTGGTTTTTCCGACATCGTATTTCGCAATGAGAAGTCACCGACAAGAGCGAGAATCTTTTTCGCGCAACTCATTAGCGTAGTAAATTAGTAACTGCAGTTCAACGAGCCTTCTGGCAATCCAAGAGACGGCACAACCGAACTAGTACTGACGGGCAAAGGAGGAATCCTTTATTTTATATATACAGATGATCACTATTTGAAAGTTAAAAATTAGTCCCTGCCGCATTCTAAACAGATCTGATTTAAAAGAAGATTTCATAGCTTTTCTTTGAGTCAACAGAAAATCCGCGTTGAACGAAATCTCTTTACGAGAGGATTAACATGCAACTAACTCCATCACCGATAATTTAAATTAAATATTCGCAAAATATTTAAAAAATTTCAAATGCACATACATATATGCGCATCTATATGAAAGTAATTGTTATTAAACTTTTTAATTTATATCTAGAAATAGAACTAAATATTAGAAGTTTCTTATTGTGATAAATCGACTTTTCAAATCCTTAAGAATCATTAAAAATTTCTTGCTCGAGATTTATTTTTGATTTAATGACTTGGTTTGATCGGGGAACAAATTTAATTCTTAGAGAAAAATCCGCGGGAAACGTGTCTTTGTGTTTCGCATACCAAGTCTTTCGGTATCGGTGGCTCTTTGAATGGAAAAAATGGATCCGTTGCGAATACCTGAGGACAAAACCGGTCCCTTGAAATCATATAAGAAGAAGATGCACGTATAAAAACGGTGACGGACTCAGTAACAGTAAAATCCTATTTCGATCAATGACTACCGCATATGGTCCATTTTTAACGCTGATGCTGCTATGACACCATACTTGCAAGGCGAGACTTCGGATCATCTCATTACTTAACCATGCACATGCAGACTTGCCCCGCCGTGAAAATTAACACTTGCGTTAAGATTAAGACTGTATGGATTTTGAATCCACAGTGTCACAGTATTTTTCGTAAAGTTTTAGTCGAACAAATTAATTTTAAATAAATATGTATACTCGACAAAAAACCAGTCGCTGCATTCTAAAAATAAACTATGTGCGAATATAGTTTTCAACCAGTCGACATCACCTAATTTATTGTTAAAACTTCATTAAAAATTTTAGAACTCAAATTAACTCCTATTCTGTCGGATTATCTATCTAATTTTTAATTATTTATTCATATATATATTCCTGAATTTTTTACATACACATAAATTACAAGTAATGGTAACTGTAGTTAAACTGTAAATATTGCTTATATTGTTACTCTTGTATATTTTTATATAATAACGAACTATCAAATTTGATATAATTTGTTACAATTTCTTAATCATATTTAATATATTTTTATTAAATTCTCTTTTATTGAAACACATAAGTCCCAACTAATATTTTTTAAACTTCCCCTAAACAATATACACTAAACTCTCAATTCAAGCATGATTTCAGTTATAACACCCGAATAAGGTAATTAATGATGATTATTATATGTGCACATAATATAATTGACTGTTTTAAAACTATACTACTGTGTTTTTAATAACAAATAATTAACAACGATTGTATTTTTTTAAAGGATTTTTAATTAATAATTGAGAGAATTTCAAAGAAATTATATACATTCTTAATTCATTACTTATGCAATTTTTGTTATATATATTCTTTTTTATTTGGAGAACCACGTTTATATATATTCTAAATCATATGGATTTCATGATACCTGTCCGTAAAGGAATAAAAAAATATTAATATAATCAGTGATATTTTAGGGACAATTAGAAAACTAACAGGATTTTATATCTAGTGACAAAGATAAATATCTAGTTGGCAGTATTGTGATGGACGATGGTCTACAATTTGTGGAATGGACATATACAAACGTATAAGACGCGAGAAAAATTAATGAAAATGTGTGGTCGAATTTGTTGGTAAATAGTTTTATCATTATTTTATTATTAATTATCTTAATTACTGCATGACATACATAATAAATGAACAAATCAATATATTGTTGCAACTTTTTAGTGGTTATCTTGTAACTATATAAATGTGTTTTATTTATATCAGTTTAATAAAACTAAATTTTGAAATTCACACTGTACCTTATCCACTGATATGTAATAATGTCAAAACTTTCTAATTTATATAAATATTTCACAAAATATATTGTAATTCGTGTGTAGCTCATTGGACCCTGAAACTTTGTGTTGTGCATGCGGATATAAGGATGCCAATGGTAAACAACGTAAATTGGCATGGGCTAAAACTGAATTAAAATATGATCCATCGTATAATATGTGCCCACGAGACGTCCTACCTTGTATAGCATCTGGTTCACATTTTGAAGGAGAAAAAGAGGAAAGGGTTCTTTGTGCCATGACATGGGGGATGATTCTACCTTGGTATCAGGTGAGTTACAATATAAATTTATAGATATGACATTTATTATTTGCAATCTTATCATTTTACATTTAAGTGTGATTAAAATTAATAAATTTTTATAAAATATATTACATGAATGTTTAAGTTAATTTATATAAATTATTTGATCAATTTTCCAGGGAGATTATAAGAAACGTCCAAATAAGATAGCCACTCACAACAGTCGTTTGGAAAATATACATTCCTCAACAGTATATTCTCCATCATTGCAAAAACAACAAAGATGTATTGTGGTCTGTGAAGGCTTCTACGAATGGAAATCTGGTACAGATAGCAAAGTTCAGAAGCAACCATACTACATATATACAACTCAAGACAAAGAGATAAAAGCAGATGATCCCACAACATGGGGCAATGAATTTTCTGAGACAGATGGATGGAAAGGTTTCAAAGTATTAAAACTGGCTGGGATATTTGGAGTACATAAAACTGAAGAGGTATTATACATCAATTTTTTCCTATCTTATTCCTACAACGATTTTATCAGAAATGTTCAAGATATTATTTAGTAATTATATCTTAGGGGAACATTATACATAGCTGCTCTGTTATTACAAGAGACAGTAACAAAGTATTGTCTTGGCTACATCACCGTATGCCAGTATGTCTAAGCAACGAGGAAGAATGTCAAGTAAGTGCTTACATAATATTATGTATAATTCGTAGAAAAATACAAGTTTATTATTATCTTACGTAATTTTTTTCTAGGTATGGTTAAGTAAACATTTATCGACAGACGTGGCAATTAAAACGTTAAATAACATGATATTACAAGAAGCTGCACTAAACTGGCATCCGGTGTCTGTGATTGTCAATAATGGACTCAATAAAACTATTGATTGTAGAAAAAAGATAAAACCAAAGTAAGTAGAAACTGATAAAGCTAAAAGTAAACACTTTATTGCTTTGTAAAACCATATATTATAAAAATTCGTATATTGTTTATCATTATCTGTATTATGACAGTAAAATTAAATAAATTATTAATTTATGATTATTATATAGGGAGATTGGTCAAGCATCTTTTATGACTTCTTGGCTGCAGAAAGGATCAAATAAAAGAAAAAATACAGATGATAAAGACACAAGCAACAAAGAGGGCAAGAATATTTCAAAAATTCGGAAAGAAAATTAAAATTTGTGAGAAACTGTTGATTAAATATTTATATAACAATTTATTTTTCTTTCAATATCTAAGATTTACTGTATGTAAGCAGTATATTTTATGAAGTTTGTATATATAATTATTAATTTAACTAATTTACATTTAATATTTTAATTTTAAATTGATTTAATATATTATTATAGAAACTCAGGAAACAAACTACCTCTTTAAAGAATTACATTGCATCATATATTTTTTTAAGAATTGTATTTCGGAAATAAAATAACGTTTTTGTAGTAAAATACTCCACGTGTAAAACTGTATTCATATAATGTTTTAACAAATAGATTCCTTCAATAACAATAGAATACTTTTTCCTTTCACTTAGATATACGAGGATATAGGATTTGCTAAGTTTTCCGTTTTTATAGACTCTGAGCTATCCAGAACCTACTCTCTCTTTCTCTATTATTTTCTTCTAATTTTATTTATATATATTAATTCATATTAATAATTTTATCCATATTAACAATAAAATAATGTAAATTGCTAATACTTACATAGTTAATCGAAGAGTCTCAAAATTATACAAAAAGTGATGCAAGATGAATAATTGTGGCATCGAGGAGTGAAATCATCATTCAAGTCGCACGTATGACTTGAAGTGGCATCCTCTGAAAAAATATAGACAAATTACTCTAAGAAGGATAATCGTAAAAATTGATACAATAAAAATACACAATGTAAAAAAGAAAAATTATTCCCAATAATAGATCTATTTGCATTGCTTGAAGTTCCTAAAAATTTTTGTACCTAAAATGAGATAAATATATACTTTGGCGTTGAAAAGAGAGAGCGAAGATGCAAAAGGTGCAAGTATAACGCGAACAAAGTCTGGATTCTAGAAAAATATCGCGTATGAAAACGTATGGACGTTACATACACTATAGATTTTCCTAGTATTTCGTATAAGATACACTTTTTAAGAATCAGGCCCCGGATTTATTGTGTAATTCCTCGGTGCAAAGCAAAGAATAAATTAATGCCTATTAATTTAGAGTCAGGCCTTATATTTAAGACTTCCTTAAATTTATCTTCCGATGCTCTATGAATTATGTTATTGGGTACTAAAAATCTGAAAATAAATTCCAGAAAGCCTTAAATATAAGTCCTGATTACGAATACGGGTATAAAAACCTTATATTATTTCATAAAATATCAACGATTCAAATACCACGATTCAAATGCTCCATCCTCAGAGCGACCATTTTAACCGAGTTAAGTGCCATCTGTAGTTCGTTGTATGCCTTGAAACTAGGGACAGTCGGTTGGCAGCGCGTGCGCAATTTCACGCCTTGCCGCCGGCACCGCCATTTGCGCCGCGAGTTGGCGCACTGCGCAGTCATGCGCAGTGCGCGCACCTTGCCGCAACAGACCATAGGTTACGTGCGTAAGTGCGTGCCTTTCGTAGAATCGCTGCGCGCACGCAGTCATGCGCAGTGCGCGCGCCTTGCCGCAACAGACCATAGGTTACGTGCGTAAGTGCGTGCCTTTCGTAGAATCGCTGCGCGCGACTCTTCTGGACTCTTCGCCGTCGTCGTCTTTCCGTGTTCTTCCTATGATTCGACAGTGAAAGCCGCTATTCGTTAACGAGAGAGAATCGGCACATGACACGTTGATTCCTGGTGACTTGGAGTCGAGTGGCAGGAAAGCGAGACTCGAGATCCGTTGTGTACGCGTCCGAGCCCAGCCTCCTCGCGAGTGCGTGCGTGCGTGCGTACTTGGCGTGCGTCGTACGTGTGTGTTTGATATTTCTGCGTCCTGCTAGATCCAAAAAGCGGCGAGCTGACGCTAGGATGACCAGCGGCGAGGAGACTGACAGGAGTGTGATGAACGTCGAAACCGTGTACCATGAGGTCAACTCCAAGAACGGTTGGGCGTCTTTCTATCAGGTGAGATGAGAGAGGAAGAATGAGGGTGAAGGAAGGAAGAAGGAAGGAAAGAAAAAGTAACGGAAGGGGCGCGGGCGAGGGAGAAACGGCTTGCTCTTCCGCTCGGCGATGGCTCTTCCACTTGCTGTTTCCGCGTTTTTAGAATCCGTTGATGCCGTCCCGGCTGACACGTCTTTTGCCGGCTGCTTCTCGTCGCCACGCGACTTCTCTCTTTCCATCTTCTGTCCATGGTCTCTTTCATCTCGCGTCCCGCGTTATCGCTCTCCCAGAATCTCTTTTTCGCAGCCACCGTTTTCGCATTATCGTTAAATGCTCCCGCGTGCCGCGTGTCACGTTTGTCATGGTCTGTCAAGAATGTCAAACTCGGCTGAAAAATTGAACGTCGCCTTAGATTCCGGCACAATTCGTCATCGAGATTCACGAGCATCGCCGGCTCGAACCGCTGGATTTTTTATTGACTTTATTTATATACGAGCGGTGATAACGTCTGATAAAAGCGGGACGCAAATGTCGTATACACGCGGAACGTATAAATGCATTCTTTTTTTCTAAACAGAGATCCGATTTGCGAATTGTCTCGTGACCACAAAGCGACTTTTGTCGTGCAACGAGGATATGTTTGAACGTTTTTTTATATGTCTACGGTCGATAGTAGTTCATGATATTCCGTGCTTCAACACAGACAATAGCCAGTAATACCGTTCGATGTCGACACGCGGATTTGCTGAACGTGATACGGCTTCCGCGTTATTGCTGATGCTATCGAAGATTTGAGCGACGCTGAAAGAAACACGAGTCCGCATGGATTTACGGCTCTATTCGATTTAAACTACCGAAGAAAAGTGGTTTCGCGATAGCCGAGAATCAAGATGATGTATGCATGACGATGTTATGACATGCGAGTGTACTCAAGGTCAGACTTCCAACTTGGAAATACATATTTAGCGATCGCATAATTTCTCCAAAGCGCAACACGAGAAACTTGACTACGATACGCTTGAACGCCTAGAATTTTTCTGATAAGATTATATTCTTGTTAATTGAGGTTTCTTCATGCTACCTACTATGAATAAATTTTGTTTTACGTACATAATTTCTATCTACATATATGGATGTAATTTTATCGAGACCTTGTTTTTTATACAATTATAATAAACTAATCTAATATAGAATATACAGTAAAAGGTTTCTTGAAACTTGTTGCATAAATTCAAATATCTTATATAATTTATATTTTCCAGTGATTTGATTTTCTATTCAGAAATCTTCAACCAAATGTTTGTTATGAATTTTTATATCAGACTTGATTTGTAATTACATTTTGGAGTAGTTATACTGTAAGATCATATGATTGTGTAATAATCAATGGAATTAATGATTGAACATATATTAAAGAGAGAGAAGGGGGGGAGGTTCAACAAGAGATTCAAGATTATTTAACTATTTTAATTTATATTTATTTGTTAGTATATATTTTATTAATAAAAAAAGTGTTTCTTTGTATGCTTACAATTCATTAATGATTTACTTTATATTTTACAGAGCATACGTAGCGAATGTGAAGCTTTTGAATATACATGCAATGAATCAAAAAAACCACAGAACAAAACCCTGAATCGCTACAGGGATGTAGCGCCATATGATCACACTAGGATTATACTCAAAAGAGGTGTATGTGATTACATTCATGCCAATCTTATACAGGTAAATATATTACGTAAGAAATAATGTCCATATATAAGCGATTGATAATGGTAAAGTAAATATATTACATGATTTGTACATTAGGTGGATCATGCTGAAAGGCAATATATCCTGACGCAAGGACCTTTGCCAAATACTGTCAGTCATTTTTGGTTAATGGTATTGGAGCAAAATAGTAGAGCTGTATTGATGTTAAACAAGATAATCGAGAAGAACCAAATCAAATGTCATCAATATTTTCCATTGGATGATGTAAAACCTACTTTAACATTCGAAGATGTCAGTATAAAAGTGGATTATATCAGCAAGAAAGAGTCGTCAGATTATACTACTAGAACTTTACGGTAAAAGAATATGTGTATATTATTAACTGTATCATATTTTTCTCAAAATTTGCTTTATAATTAACAATCTCATTCTTAATATTTTTACAAGTATTATGACATATTCAATGTTTTTAACTTATCTACAGTATAACGGATTTGGAAAGTAACGATAGTAGAGAAGTCTTACATTTTCATTATACCACTTGGCCAGACTTTGGAGTACCACAACGTCCAACGGCCTTTTTACGTTTTTTGGCAGACGTCAGGAAATCAGGAGCGTTAGATCAAAATGTTGGCCCACCCATCGTTCATTGTTCTGCAGGAATAGGAAGATCGGGAACATTTTGCTTGGTTGATGCATGCCTAGTACTGGTACGTGAAATGCAGCAAACGATTTATGATTTACAGGAAACTGTTTTGGCAATCGTTAACCAAGTGTTATTTTATTGTAGATTGAAAAATACGGTTTAAATGCTCTAAATGTACGGCATGAATTGCTGGAAATGAGACGGTCTCGTATGGGTCTCATACAAACACCTGAACAACTTTGTTTTTCATATGCTGCCATCATTCAAGGAGCAAAACAATTACCACTCGAAAACATGGTAAGTAATTAAAGTTACTATTGTTTGTCGAATAGATTATAATGACAATTAATGTAGTTTTCTTTTTTAATTTTCGATATTTTTTACTGGTATTTTAATAGACAGAGTATTCCTTTTTGCAGAAAACAAAATTATTTTGGTAGTAGCAAATTATTGCAATAAAATTTAATCACCTATTTATTGTATCTTATAACATACTTTACAGGATATAAACAACGAAACAACTTATGATGAAATAATAACAACTTATGACGAAATGAATAATAAGAGTAACCATCCATTAGAAAGAGACGACGAACCTCCTCCTCTACCACCTCCTAGAGGAGAGTCTTTAACTCGTAGTATGATGGCAGATCTAAGTCCGGATGGTTCGACTGATACTGGTATTTCTTTCTTTCTTGTTAAAACAAAATGATCTTTATATCATAACAAGCAGCATTAATAATAAAGAATATGTCAATTACAGATGAAGTAAGTGGACCACCTGATAAACCTCTGCCAAGTGAACCACCGAATCATGTAGAATTATCAGATACAAACCTATCTACATCTATTTCAAATTATGTATGCGAACAACATGCGGATGATGGCGTAGTACTTGACGAAAGTCTTTCCAATGACGCTGAGAACTCTATTCTAACAAACAATTCTCCGTCCAATTCAGACGCGTGAGTAACGTCTCTTAGTAACAAAACGCGAATTATTTAATGTTTATCTTAATGATTATGAATTTTGTTCTCTTGAAATAGGAAAGGGGAAGTACGTCGGCGCAAAACGGAAAAAAATGAACGATTAGCTACGCAAATACGCGAGATGAAACGTCGAGGGAAGGAGATGGAAGAACGGCAGACAGTCAAGAGGTCATTATTTAAAATCACCCCTCTTAAAATAGGCTTAGGCTTTGTCAGTGGGGGTATCATAGCGATCTGTTGCTACCTGTACATGCGTAGTTAGATCTGTCGCATTTAAGGATATCATACGTACGTATATACACGCATCACCTTTCGAACTATCGATAACATTTCGATGACTTGCAATAGAAAGTGTTACTCTTAACATAAGATTCTGTTGCGAGGTTTTAATAATCTTGGCTGAAATCTTCGAGAGAGTAACTAAACAAAGGATTTTGTATCATACGATCGGCAGTAAAATCACATCGCCAGCAATACCGCAAACGATACTACTGTCTCCGTTATCGAAAGAACAAGCAATGAGCAAAAGAAATAATAAAAAACGATAGAAACGAAATAAAACAATGCTAGAAACCGCAAGGTAGTACATTCTTGGACTGCATTGTTATATATTCGAAATGAGAATGGATACATATGAAGGAGAAAAGAAGATGGATTTTTGATTTGTATTTTTATATTGTGATTTATTTTATGAATATCTAGAATGTTAGATTATGTATGTTCATTTCACAATTCTTTTATTACACTTTTGCTATCAAGAAAGAATAGTTTATTCCGTACATGTGCTTGTGAAAACATTATTATAAAGTAAATTTTACCACATAATTCTTATAGATAAAATATAAACCTACAAAGAATTGTGTTAACACTTTGACTGTCATTGGGGGGTGGGGGGTGGGGTTCATTAAATTCGACCTCGGACGCTATGTAGTTGGCACATAGATCGATTAGCCAAGTATGATCATTCTCGTAGTAGGCGTCCAGCGACAGACTGCCAAATACGAGTTATCTAGTAATTGGTCCGTTAACGTGTTAACACCCAGATAAGTTACTATTGTAGGTAAAATATTTACTCAAGAACTAGTTACGCAATACTATATCATGATATAATCATATACAATATATTTATATTTTTTTGACCGTATATTTGAGGAACTCAATTAATACTAAAAATTTAACTGTCTATTACGGTCGGAGCTCGATTATTAAAAAGCAACGAAGATCCAGCTCCGACCGTAATAGGCAGTTAAATTTCTAGTATTAATAAAACTCAATTAATACTAAAAATTTAACTTGTCTATTACGATCGGAGCTCGATTATTAAAAAGCAACGAAGATCCAGCTCTCCGACCGTAATAGGCAGTTAAATTTCTAGTATTAATTGAGTATAATCATATAACTTTTTAAATATGATTTGAATTTTGATCATTCAATCATTTTATTGACTTAGAATTGATAATATGTTCGTATAATGATACACGTAAACACAGAGTGAAAATCATGGATATATAAAGCTGAATTAAATGAAAAAACAATTTCATTATCTTGAGTAACTTTGACTTTATCATTTCCCATAAATAGAACATTTTTTAAGTTAAATTCGATCTTTTCCTTCTTTTATTATTTAGTTAATATGATGATAAATGAATAAAAAAAAGGAGACATTATATTTCTGTGATTTTCGACTAACCAACATTTCTAAATGAATTAAACTTGATGTTAATATTTTACCAAAATCATTTTAGCTTTGAATAAAAAGCTAGGATGAAAGACTTATTTCCAAATCAGCTTCATATAATTTATTTTATAATTTAAATTCATATTTTTAAATAATATGGTTTATGTATAAAGATTATGCGTTTCGCGGGTTTTCTCCGTGTCCAGATCCATTCTTGTAACGCCAACATTTTGTGAACCTTGCAGTTCACTTCATCAGGACGAGGAGCATACCCGCGAAACGCATAATCTTTATATAGAAAGCACCCATGGAAGCCTCAAGAATAAATACGGTTTATGTGTTACAAAACTGGAAAAGCTTATAAACTCATAATCTTAATTTTTTTAAATGAAAATATGAATTCAATGATCTGGAAATAATCTATTCAATTTCTTTAGTAGCGTTAAATGGGTATATTAGTGATAGGCGTAGAAAGAACTTGTTAAACAATTTTATTATAGTTCCATAGATAAATGTTTTTAATTGTTGATTGGAGTAGATTCTACTGTCTTATATCAAAGTCATTCGTGAAAATTTAGATACACACACTGCGTATATATGTTAACTTCACAAAAGAGTTTAACAATATTTTCTATTTATCATAATAATTTTGCTCATATTTTTTATTATTTGGCTATGAATAAGACATACTTTTTTCTTATTTGCAATCTTTGTTTTTTCCTTTTTTGTTACAACAGAATATTATATTATGCAAATCGCCATTTGGGATGATAATATTTGATTTAACTGATAAACTCATGCATTTGTCATTCATAAATTCGATAAATTTGATTTGAATATAGATGATAGATTGTAGAATCAATTATTTTACTCTGCAGTATAAGACATTCCTGATGCACGGATATTAGCTAAAATTTCTTATGCTTAAAAATGAAATTATCTTAGATGCTATCATGTAAAAAGATTGAACTCACTATGTTTATGAAGAGAACTTTTGCTGATGAATTATTTTTACCTTCTTTCTGTTATTAAATACTTTACAAAAAGGATGTTACGAATTTTTAGTTTGATACGGAAATTCTTGATAAAAGTAAAAAGAAGGATACAGAAATCTGCTATAAGCCAGTAAAGTGTTATTTCTAAAAGTTACTGGTGATCTCCGCGACATTTTCTCACTTTTAATTTTTCTTTAAATTGAATCCTATTTGTGCATTTATCTCAATATCCTTATTAAACTTCGAAAATTTAGTAATAAAGTTATATCGCGTTAGAGAGGAGCTGAGAAGGGTTTACAAACGAAATCTTAGAAAATGTGAATTCCAGTTCATTGCTCAACAGCGTATGTTGCAAACTGTGCATTGAACATTGTGGACAAAGACTGAGTACGTCTATAATGACTTCTAGGACAAAAGGAGGAGGAAGTAAATGGGCGGTAAAATAACGAAAGTTAAGCCGGCGTATTTCTTAAGTCGAGCTGTTATATAAGCTACTTTGAGAGAAAGACTTGTCAGATCGTGTTCCAATCCAAAGATGAAGCGTGATGAGAATATGTGCGTCGCAACGTCTTGAAAAGATGCGCGTCACTAAAGTATTTTTTACTTTTGTACGTTAACTATCGTTGGAGCACGATCTTCCAACGAAGTTTTTAGGCACGTCGCACTTGCGCATATCGACGTGCTCGTCTTCGCGTAATTATGTAGAACGTTAGAACGTTGCAAAAGAAATTGAATGGAGAACAAAAAGGGAGCGAGCATACTCCACGCGGAACACGATGTCGAGGGGATATGCAGTATTCTATTGTCAACAACACGTTTTAACTTTACGCACTAATATACTATTGTTATCTAATTTTTATCAAGATATTATTTATGTAAGTATATAAAACCGTAATCTGCGACGATTCGATTAAACGGAAACGACACAATTAATCTCGTGACGATCGTTATCGTGTCATTAGCGAAACGCATCATAGTGTGGAGATCTTTCGATCGTTCCATGCGCCTTGAAATTGAACTGAAAACATGTTGAAATTTCGAGGACAACGCGTAGTTTGCATAATTAAAAAAAAAAGTCGCAATTATCTATTAGCCGTTTTACGCATGAAAGAATCGGGATGAACGATCGTAGACGCTCATCTCTCTCCTGTTGTTGACGATCGCGCGAAGCTTCCTGAAATGGGACATACATTCATGAAAGTTTACAGGTCACGAAAACACGGTGCTAATTAAAAGAGTTCCAAAACCGATGTGCGCTTCGAAGTGCGTGCGTTCGTGCGTGCATGCGTGGATCTGAGATGAGAAACGCGTGTATGAGAGAGTGAATGCGATGGAACAATGAGAGCAGTCACCGATGTTGATCGTGCAACTTGCTCATCGAAGCATTATTCAAGAAAATGGTTTTGCATTGATACTAGAAATTGATTTCTCCGATACAATTTTAAAGTAGCATTTCTCATTTTTATCGTTTTACGTTGATTTTTCTTTCGTCAATTATATTAGATATGACAATCTATTTTCATTTTCACACATGATACAATTATAAACTTTTGAAAAAGTATGGATTTCACATTCAGCATCGGACAAGGCACGAAAAAAACAGATCCAGCGACACAGTCTTTTATACTATTCGTATGCATACAATAGATATAATGTTATACAAACAAAAAAAAAACAACTATGGATTTCACATTCAGCATCGGACAAGGCACGAAAAAAACAGATCCAGCGATACAGTCTTTTATACTATTCGTATGCATACAATAGATATAATGTTATACAAACAAAAAAAAAACACAGAAACATAGCTAAGTGCCTACTCGTACAAACAAGGGGAGGGAAGGGAAAACCACAGCGATCGGTGAATAGTGTAACGATAGCGACTTCTCCCCTTTTTGGAAGAGCATAGTCACCGTGAAAGCGAGTCGTTTTTATTACCCGACAATATATAAGTAGATAATTATCTAGTAAATCTAAGGCTGATTTACTCGAAATGGTACTTTCGAAGGTGCTCCTATTATATTTAAGTAATCGTAAAATATCACTTTTCTCTTTATCAATTTTATTTTCTTGTATGCACAACATTTTTGTGAATAACATATTTTTTGGTAATTAAGAACGTAGTTTCTTTAATAAAATCACCTTCTAATCATAAAAATTACCAAGATATTTCTGGAACGGAACAATTATAATGAGAATGCAGGTATTTGTATACTACAATTTTCTTGCCATGTTATATTCTATGATATTCTTTAAAATAAAAGATTCTTTGTCTGTAGAGAAAGGCCATTTCGAATCAATCTACCATAATCTCCGGATTGCCGAGCGATCATACATCAGGGTACCGACGGAATGTGAGCGATAATCGAGCTTATTCTCGGATAGAAAAATCGATTTTATATCATTAACTAGGCGCGATTGATCTTGCGCAAGGAAATTTTGACAGTCGCAGGAACTTATGTCTTCAATTTAAAGCAATATTCATGAAACCTTTGTCTGTAGAGAAAGGCCATTTCGAATCAATCTACCATAATCTCCGGATTGTCGAGCGATCATACATCAGGGTACCGACGGAATGTGAGCGATAATCGAGCTTATTCTCGGATAGAAAAATCGATTTTATATCATTAACTAGGGGTGCGTTCCGTTTCTCGCATGATGCGCATAATGCATCATTTATCCTTGTTGCTCACCAAATGTTAAACAAGGACAATGGATGCATCATGCACATCATGCGCGATACGGAACGCACCTTAGGCGCGATTGATTTTGCGCAAGGAAATTTTGACAGTCGCAGGAACTTATGTCTTCAATTTAAAGCAATATTCATGAATCATCGTGACGATATCGAATGTTTATGATTCGATCGATACGCTTGGCAACCGGATTAATAATAAGAGTGTACCCATTAGGCAGATGTAAGAATGGAGACAGAGGAAATTGACGATCCTTGATTCTTAGAAGTGCATCAGCTAGAGCATACATTTTATAAATCACGATGTCGTTTAATCTACATAATGCATCCTTTATACGACGGGGCCTTTTTACAATTACTGACGATTATCAATTGTTGATTATCGAAAAAACATGGATTTATCTTAATACAAAAAATAGATAATTGTCAGCGTGCTTCTGAAAGGATTAAGACAAAAGTATGTGAAGGTGGAGAAAGCTGTACGCTTGTCCGATTAATCGACCGTTAATTAGGCATTTTATAACGATTGTTTCCATAATTTTTAGTTATATTAAAAATTGTATAGATAGAAAAGACGGTGGAATTGCAAGAAGAATTTGTAAAATTTGCTAATGGAATTAAAAATTCTGGCCATACTTTGAGATAATTATATAGAAAAACGTAATTTCTTTTAACGCTGTTTTTATTATACTTGGATAAAATATTAAAAAAAATTTAAAGAAGATTTTTAGAAACGATCGATTAATTACACAGCGTCGGTAAGGGTAATATCTCTCCCTAACCCATTCTGCATCCTGCACAACTCGAAGTAGTTAATTACATTTACAATGTATCGTTGTAGAGCTATAGTGTCGAATGGTATTTTAATGTATAGAAAACCGAATGCACAGTAAAAGAAGGGAAACGGAAATTGGAAACATGAAAGGAAGAATTGAGTAAAAAAAGAAAAACAGAATAGGAGTGAAGAGAGGAACGATGCGAGAAACAAGAAATTGCCTCAATTTGTTGCATGAACTATGAACAAAATTTTACAAATTTGAAATTTTATTAAGCACACTACATTTTTTTATAAATATAATCTCATCAATTTCTTGAACAGTGCAATATACCTATATTTTTTCCTAGGAATATTCTTTTGTTTACAGAAAGCCTGTTCTCTAATATTTATTCGTTACGAATGAGTGTTATTTAGCATGTTCTAATATTGGATATCAGATTAGATATTATCTATTCACAAATAGTTAATTGAATTTTAACGATGAGCATCGTTAAATCACTGTAATCGTTCCTCTCTTTCATCGAAATTTCATTTACACAAACAAATTACACGGATAGGCACTGGATGACACATGGAGATTTGCATATAATAAAATTATTTATACAGAAGTAACGAAACGGCAAGATGAATGCTCTCGCAAATATGCACATACATCAAGCCGATTCGTTCGAAATGGTTCCCTCCTGCGAGAACGCTCTTATCGTAGAGGCAGTACTTGGCAGATATTTTACACAACTGGAAGTAGCATTGTGAGAGTAGAATTTTTCACACTATAGATTTTATACATGAATTTAAGACACATATTTCTTACAATTATGTATTTTTCACCGCGAATTTATTTTCGCAAAATACATTTCTGCGGAGAGTCCGGATTCATGTACTATGGATTCAGGTAATACAGATGTTTTCTTACGAATCATTGACGCAAATGTAGTAGATCCCAGACAATCACGACAAAGGCATTTCAAATTGTTTAACCTGATATACTTTTTTTGTTTATATGCTCAGAAAAACATAGACTTAATTAGGATTAGCGCGTTTATTATTGTTAAATTGGGTAAGAATATTTTGTTTAGTACGATTTGTTTTAATACCCGTAACATCCGATGATTTATCAAAAAAATTCAGTGTCTACCAGGAGTTCCGTAAAATCTTAATAAAAATCAAAATGTTTTGGATCTGTCTGCATTTATGTTTTATTTGTAAATAACATTCGATTTTGATTTTTAAATAATGTTGGAAATTGACGACTCTTGGTACGCATATTATTCTTCAATTAGATTAGTTTCTTGGCAACAATAACAGCTGTACTAATATCAATATAATTGAGTGAATATTTTGGGTGTTACTTTGAGTTAGTCACGAATCTAATTTTTATTATGTAAATTACTGATAGATGGTAATAGTACATCAGTTATTGATATCTTTCTCTATCTCAGAGTTGATTAGATCGTTTATTTCGAAAATTGTATAAACATAATATGGATATTAAAATTGTATAAAAGCAATCTTGATGATTTCGTCAATTCTTGATATTGCAGAATTTAAGTTGCACTATTTTCGAAATAAACGGCTTGTTTCATAATCCTGTTTCTATCCTATCTTGCAATCTAGATTTTGAAATTCTTAAATCGTACAGACCCTGAGATATCTTATACATATATGTTCATAAACGATGCGAATCGTACAATCTCCCTCGAGTTATCATCTAGCGTAAATTATTTTACCTTCGTTTTCCGTCTCGTATTTAGTCTTTCACGTCCAGCTAAAGCCCGTAGAGATCCTTATCTGATAATTTCTTTCAGATCAAAAAGCGAAACTACCGAAAGCGGCGAATCTGTGCACGAGGAAGCTGAGTCCACCATCTAAATTGAAAGAAAAAAAAAAAACAGAAACCGTCCTTCCATAGAATAATTATCCGTTATGTGCCTTGTCACATTTTAAAGGAAATCATACTAGACATGAGAATTTGTTTTAGTATAATAAAAATACTTAATAAAGAAAAATAAATAAATCAGACTATTTGCTACACAGAAATACGATGTACATATATTCGCTTTCGCGAGTTGTCGAGTCCTGGATTATACTTAAGGATGAATGACTCGCGATTTTTGTCCTTTCCTAATTTTTAGTGATTTTTAAATTGAAAGAAGTAAGAATTTTTAATTAAGAATAATGAAAATAAAAATTAAGCAACAAATGCATTCATGCAATTTAATATAATTTTGTCATATTCTCCATTTGATTTACCATTAATTAATTCATATAAATATACTTCACAAAATAGGATTATTGCTGAAAATGAGTAAATTAAACAGAGATTTACATCGTTATTTCATCGTGGGACCAAAACTTAACTTTTTTAAATTACATTAACGAGAAGAGAGAACGTATTTTAAATGACGAATTATTATTCAATATTGATTAGAACAAGATTAAATTTTCACATGCGTTGTGATGTAACAATATATAATGTGGCGTTTTAAAGATAGCTCTCTCTTATGTCATGCATCACGTGAAGATCTAACCACTGCATCTTGGATAATGAAATATTTCGTAAGAATGTTCTGTGTAATGAATTAAAAATAAAAGAAATTATGTGAAATTTATTTTTATTTCGATTAAACTTGGCAATAATTGACAATAAGTATTCCGGTAATAAAATATATGCGCGGTTAATTCAATATTACGATTTTGATATAGAAGCCTGTATATATACCGACTGTTCTATAATTATTTTAAATAAATTATTACTTTTTCGTTATAAAAAAAATATCAGCTAACAAAATGTAGTTTTCTAAATTTGTTCTTAATTTTAAACTTAATATAAAGTTCAAAAATACAATAATATTGTAATAAAAAGTATATAAAGAAAAATAATATAAATTTATCTAAATAAGGCATATTTTATGAGCAGGAAATATATCACACAAGCAAGATACTGTAAATCTAGATAATAAAAAGCCATATTTTAAAACGTACCAGCAAAATAACGTCAAAATGATTCTGTCGCTTAATTTCAATAAGCGTATATTTGCGCGGTAATTTTGAGTAATCCTGAATACATGCGCGAGAATTGACATACTAAATTATCAATATTTTACGCGTAAATAGATAAGCATCGAGGGGGTTTCCTTGTAGCAAAGTTAACACCTTCAAGGCCAGCAAAACAAGGAGCATCGTAGAACACCCAGGATAGATCACCGATGTGTCATGTCTAGCTGGTTTACCAGGTCAATTATCACCCGTCGTAGAACGTCATTGTATAATTAGCGTGCTCTGGTTTGACGTCATTGTTTCATATAAATACTGAATGCCCGGTCCAGGCCACCATAAACTTGTGAGAGAGCTGTCTCGACGTGCTATTGTACTTTTTAAGTAAATGCTTTGCATTGAAACGTGTTACTTCCTCTTTTGAGTAACCTAATTTTGAGTGAAAGCGATTATTATTTTTCTTGCTAAGTATCATCAATATAATTCGATACTTTCAAGTACAAGATGGTAAATATATTTTTTCTCAAATTTAAACAAATCGTTTCTCGTAAATATATGTATATAGTTTTTGCTTCTATTACAAAATCTAATGTCTTCTATGATTTATGAAAAAAAATGTTTGAAAAAAAATTTTCTTATCAAAATAAAAAATAATTTAATTCATTCCGAAACTTATTTGAATGATGTATGGAAATTATTAAAAGCAAATCCGTTTTATTTTAACAAATACATTCATATACAATATATACATATACTGGGAATATGTAGAGAACATTTACTAAGAACTTCTTAAAAATACGTACGTTTTATTTGAAATTTGGGATATTTTTCCAGTATGAACTATTGATCCACAAATCTTTAGATATCTATCGATGTTGTGGATATAAAGACACAAACCTTTTTTCTTTCTTAGATGGCTGCTACATTCATTGTCTTCGTGCTACTGTTTGTCGTCTGTTCTTACGCATCACCTCTTAGAATGATGAGCATGTATGGTTCTCCCATACTTGTTGTACCGGTTCTTGTTCAAGAATTAGACGATCCTCAAACTTTGATAAACAAGGAATCGGTATACGCATTAAATGACGGTTTTAAAGTTGCGAATAGTATCGCAACCCGCAATATTGAAAAACGCAGTGTAGAGGAAGCAAATGATGATGATCTTGAGATTGCAGCTGGTACCAATGTTCTTCGTCCTCTCTTCGTGTATCGGCAACAGGTCGCGTATCGACAACGTGCCAGGGGTGCTGTTCGAGGTAGAGGTAGGCGAATATAAGAAAGAAGCAAAAGCTGATTTGGAGATTTCAACAATTGCAATTTATCTCATTTTGGTATTATCTCATTTTGGGAGGATAATACATTCGAGAAATTTGGAAACTTATAAAGCCTCAATGAGTCTGAAGATTTTTAAAGTCCTTTAAAGACCTTTAAAGAAGGCTTGAAAGAAGATCGGGCAAGAAAAAACTTTATTTAAACAAAGATACGCAAAGCCCAAAGGAAGATGGATAAATTATAGGGAAGCTAAGATAGTTTCATTTAAAATGATTCAAACAAAATACATATATTTTGAACATATATTTTGAAAAATAGCAAGCTGTGATACGAACCTTTTTTAAACAAAACTGATATCTGTAGCTCGCCAGGGCTGTATGAGATAAAACTTGCTGCTCGCGGATATTTATAGGTGTACCGTGAGCACACAAAAACTCAAACAGCAAAGCGGAAGACTCGCTCCAATATGAAAATTTCGGGCGCAAATAAAACTGTTTTCTTGTCGACGGAGCTTACCGCCGAGATAAAAAAATATGTGAAGTATAGAAAAACATACAGAGAGTCAATAACGGAAAGGAAATTTTTGTACTGAAAAACGAGTAAATTTTAAAACAGCAGCAAAGGGCGTTGAACTTGTTAGTATAATTATGCTAAAAGATTGTGGACATTATTTCAACGAGGATTAACGGTATAAATTAACGGGTGTGAACTAATCTTACTGATTCAGAAAGGTTTTTCTTTTTACGACAAACGGAACAATAAGAGCAAAAAATCAAGAAAGCATTTAGCTATTTTATGATCATACATGATCTCTTATAAAAATCCTATAGATTTAAGTCGGATTAAAATTAAATATACAAGAGAGTGAGCTGATTAAAATAATAAACAGAAGAATTAGAGGAAGCGGCAGTATGTATTACTTTATAATTTCTAATGTAATAATTAGCGTTTTCTTTTAATCATAAGTCGGTTATTACTTAAAAATAACATTAATAATTAAAAGCTATCGACCAAAGTTGCCTTACGCAAGCAAATAAGTTAATAATATTACTCGAATAGATACTTGAATGTACATATGGGAGTGTATTTATGATACGATTTCTTTGAGAATAAATGTTACATATGTAACAAAATAAATATGTGTATGATATTTTATAAATAAATGTAGAATGTTAATTATATGTTTATTTTACTTCTTATTCCTATCACCATTCACAAATACATAACATAATAAATTAATATAATAGATACATTTTTATTTTTTAATATAATTATAATATTTAATTGTTTCTTGTAATATACCATAAGCTTACAGATACAATATAGAAAAAAATGTTCATTAAAATAATAAAATAATTTATTATTTAATTTTATTTTAAAAATATTCTGAGACTTTGTTTTAAAATATGAGGTTTTAAAAAAAATTAAACGGCAACTCTATTTAATTATAAGCATCAACTTTTATTGGCAAAAAAGTCATTTTAATTAGAAAACTTTGGTAAAATTGTTTTAGAAGTAATTTCTCTCTTCTCAAGAAACATTACAATTTAGATTTTATCATTTTAATTATAAGTTTATAAGATTACTTCTTTACTTTTATTATTATTAATATATATTTCTCTGTTTTCTCTATCAGGAATATTTGTCATTACTATTTTTTACTTACATAGCTATGCAAATTTAATTTTTTTTCAATGGGAAGGAAAAGAAAAAACTCAAATTTCCATTTATTTTCCCGAAAATACAGGATGTCTCCAGTCATTACGATAATGTTCCCTTCTGTCGTTCGCTCGATATCTTTGATTCGGAAACTCTCTTCGATAATACGGATATGCAGATGGATATCTATCTTCAGCCACGCTGAGATCACCCTCATAGTTTAGATTCCATTTCGACGAAAGAATACTTCTACTATCGTCATGGTTGTTAGACTTAACATCACCTTTTTCAGTTTGACGACTTAGACGAGCCGGTAATAAACTAGGATCCAGTAGGATATCATGCGACGACAAATCTTCAGATGGTTCTTCTTTACGATCTGCATCATTTTCTTTATCCTCATTGTGTTGCATATTTTTAATATTACTGCTTGAAAAGTCACCAGTTGAAATTGTGAATGCATTTGATGCGTTATTCAAATATAACGAATCCTTCGCGTGTTCTCCAACCTGGGTAGAGTTCTTCACGGGATTTTCAATTAAAGGATATTTAGTATTATTCTATACATTCTGCTTTAGATCTACGTGATTTTTTTATATCTCTTACGTCATGTACATTGTCCCACGAAGTTTCAATCATTGCTAACGATCCAGTAGACGTTGATTCCACCAGGATCGCGAGAGAATAGAAATTGAAGAGGATAACGCTCAAGCGTTCCATTTGAATCACGAATTTTCTGGATGGTACAAAGAGTACAGTTTCCAATTGCTAACTAATGTTTCAGAAAGTTGAAGCAAGTCTTTTATAGCTTGCTACTCAAGATTCGTTGCTAAATTACTTGTTAAACACTATCGATATCGTTAAGAGTCCGCTAACCATAAATACAATATTTCTTCGTGGTTGATCAAACAGTAGTTGTTGTAATATTCAAATGTTCTTGTACGTATTATTTCATAATTGTTTCATAAATTTATGGAATTTAAGAAATTATATTTAAAACGATAAATATAAAATAAATACAAAATTTTGACAATTTTCTACAATTTTAATTTTTTATCAAAGTTATTAAAATATAAGAAATAAAATACTAGCACATGTATATTAATCAAAATAAAAAAATCAATATTTTATATAACACGAAAAAATATGAAAAATACAAGATTATAACTCACTTGAATTAATTATTATATGATTGACAATTATATCTGTCTGTATGATCTTCATGATGCAGCATCCGTGCAACGAAGTTTACCGCAAGGTTGATACTCACGTTTATTAACAGAGAAACGATAATTCTTTCAGCATGTCATATAAAACCAGTATGATCCGTTATACCTTGGCAGAGCTGGAAAATCTTTGGCGAAGCAGTCTCGTTGAAGCTACAGGAAGATTATTGCAGTTTTATTATCGAGATGGAAAACGACTCATCGGTACGTTTTTAGATCAATTTTTAGATTCACTTGAAAATTGCACTTTTTATATAGCAATTAACACATTATATATAAATATATGAAGAATACACGCTAAATTTTGCGTCATAGACTGCAATCTATACAAATTTTTTATTTGGAAAGATTATTTATATTTATAAGAAATATGAAATATAAAAAGTATATAATTAATTGAACGTATAATTTATTAAATTAAAATTAATTATTAACTTAGAGTTTTTTGATAATAGTATGATGAAATATTTAATTAATTAATTTTTAATCGATCAATGTATATGTGTACATCAATATTTTAAATACATTTTTTGTAATAATTAAATTCCTCAAACTAAAATCTCGAGAAAATAAATTCTATTGTAAATTTTAATCTGTTTAAAGTATACAGCTTTTTAATTGCATTTAAGTCAAAACTTATTAAGCTCGATTTAAAAAATGTCATTGATTGCATTTTATAGCTTGGAAGTATCATGTTTTTTATGATCTTCGTATTATTCGTGTGCATATCCGATGCGAAACCTATTGATTATGAAGATGTTGCAAATTTGTTACCAACGGAACCTCAGACCACGAATGATACGCTGGCCGCCGTTGTGCGAGATCCGGTAGTGCAAGATGCTGTACAAGATACAGTCGGCAATAGATCCTTAGAAGGCTTGGTGATAAAGAAGAAAGTGCTTGTTATGCCCGCCACTGAACCTACTAAGGTTTACTTATTATATTCTATATATTTTTATATGTATATACAATTAATTATAAATATTACTCCAACATTTCTGTACATCTGCTTCATTAAAGAACACGGTATTCAAAAATATAAATGAATATTACTGCTATTAATAATATACTTGTTAATTATTAGTGTGACTACTATCATTAGCTTTTATTAACAATAATAAACCAATTCATAGCATGATTCATGATTAGTCATTTACATAACAGCAGTTTGGAAATGCTAATTAGTTATTAAAAAGAATTATGTAATTTTGTTGTTGCAATTAATAATTGTTGCTTTATATTATGTCGATTTATTTTTAGTATAGAGATAAATGTTTTTAGAAAAATAAAAAAATTTAGCATATGTTTCATATATTCGAATTTATTATATTATTATTTAAAAAAGTAAAATCTTTTTAAGGTGGTGTCACAAAGTGAGCAGATTCTTGTCGTTCCCATGGCGAATTTAGAGGATGTACAGAAAAATATAACAGAGACTGTGAATGCAAAAACTGATGTAGATGATTTAATACCTACAGATGTTTTTACTGAATTTTTTACTGAAAACGGTGAAAATGGATACATAAATTCGGTAAAATATGTAAAAATGCTATATTGATATTCTATTATCGTATAACATATATTTTTTTAAGTATACATATATCCCGATAACATGCATGTTAAAATGCTGTAGGCTCTGATATTCCGTTCTCATATATATAAGATTGTCTTAAATACAGTCTTAAGATATCATAAATCATTCAAAACTATTAGCATCTTATTACAAGACAGGGTTGAAATAAAAACGGTTTACGAATACTGGCCATAAAGATCGTTTCATAAACATGCGTGTTGCCTGGGAACTGTATATAAACGAGTAACATTTGTCATGATGTATATCAACTGCCGATGTAATTTATAAAGAAATCGTCAAAGAGCATATGGTGGATTGACGTAATGTTATCGAGCATATGATCTTCCAGGAAAGTAGAGATCTTCCGTCTTATGCATCGCAGCACGACGAAGCATCAATCGAGACATTTAAAAGTACGCAGAAGCCGTTCCTTATCGATAACATACCTCAAGAAATTCCATATCTCGTGCCAAACCCGAGCCAGGAAATAATGCCCTCGGAACATCCACCACTCACAATATCGGTACCAATCATCGCGTTCCTCGAACCCGCAAAAATTTCTGATGATAAAGTTGATGTGCCAATCGCGGCAGTATTACCAATGCAAGATGAAATTTTAAAAAGTCAATTGGAGAACAGTCATGACGAAGTTCAACAAAACGTTCAAAATTACGTTGATGAAAGCTCGTGGAGCGTGGATCCTAATAATTGGCGACTTGACCTATCCTCTTCGGAGGTAAATCCATTTCTCTCACAATATTTAAGATAATTTCTTTAAGTTCTTTGTTTTTTAGGAACTATGAAATTTTGATGGACAAATGTAAATTAAAACGTAATTATAAAAAAACTTCATTACCTCAATTATTATGTTTAAATTTACATACCGTTACGTTATATATATGTTAGATGTTAGAAAATAATGCTGCAGAAAAATTAAATCTGAAATTAAATTATAAAAATATCAGTATACCTGTATTTTATAGATAATATTTTAAAAGTGCAATAAATTTTAATCGTTACCAGCAATATAATTATAACTAATAAAATTAAAGTTAGTTACAAACTTTAATTTTATAAGTTTAAAGATATAAAAATGAATATATTTAGAGGAAGATTAAAAGATGTTTCTTCATCATAGATGGGAGTATCACCTTCGCTGTATGAGTCGAGTACAAAACAGACCAAGTACACGAATGATATTAATTCCGAAAATTCGTTGCCTGCCAAAATGTTTCGTGTCGATATTACACCAGTCTTTTGGACTTCGGATGCGGATATTAACTATCCCAAAGATCCACACGATATGGAAGTCGCTGCAAATATGGTTTTTAGACCGTTCTTCAAATACCGACAAGAGGTGCAGCGGAGATCTTATAGAAATCCGGCTTATCGAAGATACAATTCTTACAATTCTTATCCGAGACGAAATTATCGATATAGATCCTAATAATTCTTATGATTATTATTAATATTTTAACGGTAGTGAACGTTCTTATTACTATTAAAACAATTTATAAAGAGTAAATAATTATCTTTCATAATTGTCAAGTTAAATTGTTAATTTAAACTATGTAAAAATACAATTTATTAAATTTATTGTTTATTGCGATTTTTATATTTTTAACTCGATTTTTAAGTCTATAAAATTTAAATAATAAAATGGACTAGACTAATGTTTGAGAGTTAATAAATATTTATTAATAAAATATCGACATAATTGTAACTAAGCAATTATCAAATAGAAAATAAAAAATTAATTAATTAATATAAATTATACTTTACAATACCTAATTCTACTTTGTCCCCGTTTTTTAATCCCGTTCTTTCTTCCAAATATCTTTATGTTATATTATATAATTAAATGAGCAATCATGCATAATTATCTTTATGCTATACTATAATATTTAAATGAGCAATCGTGCATAATTATCTGTTATTATCGTTTTTAATTAACACGCAACTCAGTTATGCGTCACAGTCAGAATTAAACCTAAAAGACTCGAAGAATTATTCCTTGTCTTTTATTTAATAAAACACGTTTTTTCTCACATTACATATGAATTCCTCAAAATAGAAAGTGTGTATATGTTAAATGGTCGAGAATTTAAACTTCTAAAAAAGGAAGCTTTGGAATTAATTTAACATTTACTAGATCGTATCTCGAGATATATACCTGTATATTTAGAGATCGTTTGCCAGAAGGTCTGACGATAACATAAATGAAACGTGTGTCAATATACGTATATTCTAAAGTGGAACATAAAGTCTGTGTAAAAAAAATGTATACCGTTTTAAAAAATATATAAATTCGTGGATGCAGTTTAATATTTTTCTACTGTTTTCATGAGAAAAACCAACAAAACCCATGCTTCTTTCGAAAGTAGCACTGTGTATACTTAAAAAGTAGGATAATTAGTGCATGATTATATTTGAATCTTATTACAGAACTAAAGAAAGTAGTAATATAGATTATTTTTCAACGATTGCTTAAAGAAATATTTAATTCCTTAAACGATGTTTTCTACGATTGATTATAATTATTGCAACTAATTTTACAATAAATAAAGCATTGCTTCATCATAATACCGAATTGTTATAAGTTTCACTATTATAAAAATCATTATTATATATTTCTTATTAAAATAATATCTATATTTAATTATAGCAACTGTATTAAGGTAGAATTTCATTATTTACATATTATCAATATTTCTTTAATGGTCTATTTAATATTAAATGCATAATATTGGAGAAAAATATATTTGTAACATAGGAACAGTTCCTAATATTAGATGACAAAAAAATTGCGAACGTTAGTCAAGGTCTCATCTGCGAATTGTTCGAACGATTATTAGTGCACTTACTAGAAATACGGTAGAAATTACTGCAGTTTGTAGTAAACGTGTCATTGTTAATGCCCTCAGGGCGAATAGTTAGTCACTCGCTCCTTTAACGTACTATTC